TCCAAGATGAGGCAGACCTCAAGAATAATGATGAGACAAAGAAGGAGACGAAGAAAAAGAAAAGTGTTAGAGTTGCTCTCAAATCCACAAAAGATGAGAGTGATTCTTCGGATGATGACGATGATGAAGAAATGACATTATTTGCCAAACGGTTCAGAAAATTAATGAAGCCCAACATAGGAAGAAAATTCAAAAGAAATGAAGGCTTAAAAAATGAACCAAAGGAGAAGGACCCAATCATTTGCTATGAATGTAAAAAAGCCTGGGCATATGAAATATGATTGCCCAAATTTAAAGAAGAAGGGTCTTTCAAAGAAGAAAAAAAAGCACATGTAGCTACTTGGAGCGATGACGAATCATCCAATGAAGAGGAACAAGAAGTAGTAAACTTGCGCTTGATGGCCATCGGGGAAGATTCTCAGGTAACCTCTAACTCATTTGATTTAGAAGATTATTGTTTTGATGAGTTATTAGAGGAATATATTGGGTTGGCTTTGGATTATGAGAAATTATTTTCAAAATACAAGAAAGATATTTCAAAATTGAAAAACGAAAATAATCTCATATCCAAAACCAACAATGATCTTGAAAGTAAAATTAATAAATTGCAAATCAAAATCAAAGATTTTTAAAAGAAAAATTATGATTTGCATAATTTACTTTCAAGAGTCAACGATGATCATCATAAGGAAATTGATGATCTTAAAGCTTCTTTTGATAAAGTTGGAACAAAACATTTTGAAAAAAGGAGAAAGTTCAAAATCCAACTATATTAGAAAAAGCTTAAAAACCTACAATCATAGAGATCTCTAAAGAACCTCTAATGATAAAATCATTAAAAGTATATGAGTTCCTAAAGAACTCATTACTATTAAAGATAAGGATATCCTACACAAATGGATACCCAAGGGGACTAGGATTTTAGGAACTAATGAATATGGACCCAAAAGAATTTAGGTACCAAAAATAAAAAATTAATATATATTTGTAAGAAAAGGAGCATTGCTACAAGGTAAGGAATTCAAGTTCAAACTCATGGTTCCTTGATAGTGGATGCTCAAGACACATGATCGAAGAAAAAAGCTAGTTTATAAAGCTTAACGACAAAAATGGAGGAGTGGTAACCTTTGGTGACAACTCAAAAGGTTACATTGAAGGTATAGGTACTATAGGTAATACATCTTCCATACAAATAGAAAAAGTATTATATGTGAATGGATTAAAGCATAATCTATTGAGTATTAGTAAATTATGCGATAAAGGATACAATGTCTTGTTTGAAACTAATGGTTACAAAATCATTGACACTACATCTAATCAGATTATGCTCATTGGTCATAGAATAGGAAACATATACATGGTGCATTTAGATTCTATAAATATGACTAATTTGTGCCTAGTTGCTAAGGATGAACATAATAGTTGGTTATGGCATAGGGACTAGGACATACTAGCATGAGTATTTTACAAAGACTAATTCAAGGAAACTTAGTAAGAGGATTATCAAAGCTAAAATTTGATAAAGATAAAATCTGTGATGCTTGTGCTAAATGAAAACATAAAAGAGCCTCCTTTAAATCCATTAATAATGTATCAACTAGTAGAGTATTACAATTGATCTATATAGATCTTTTTGGGCCAATTAGGACAACTACCTTGGGTGGAAAACAATATGCATTTGTCTTGGTAGATGACTACTCAAGATATACTTGGGTTCTATTTTCAAGTACTAAAGATGAAGCATTAGAACATTTTATCACTTTTTCAAAAGTAATCCAAAACGAAAAAGGTTACTCCATTTCAAGTGTTAAGAGTGATCATGGTACGAAATTTGAAAATCTTGGATTTAATGAGTTTTGTAATTCTAATGGAATTAGCCATAATTTTTCAGCACTTAGAACCCCTCAACAAAATGGAGTTGTTGAGAGGAAAAATTGAACTTTAGAAGAAATGGCTAGAACCATGCTTTGTGAAAATAATTTGCTAAAATATTTTTGGGCGGAAGCCACAAATATCGTTTGTTATGTTATAAACCGAGTAATGATTAGGCCTATTTTAAAGAAAACTCCATATGAAATTTTCAAAAATAAAAAGTCTAACATTAGCTATTTTCATCATTTTGGATGTAAATGTTTTGTTTTGAACAACAATAAAGACAATCTTGGCAAATTTGATGTTAAAAGTGATGAAGGAATTTTTTTGGGTTATTCCTTATATTCTAAAGCTTATCAGGTATTTAATAAAAGAAATTTAGTGGTACAAGAGTCTATCCACGTTGTTTTCAATGATAATCCACTTCCGAGGAAGGGTTCTTGTGTTAATGATGACGTAGGTATTGTAAAAACAAATGACGTTGGACCTGACGTTGGAGAACCATCATCAAAGGAAGAAGTGAGGGATGAGGAAACTCAAGATGCCTTCAAGAATCTAACCATTGAAGAAAGGAAAATCTCTTACCCAAGAGAATACAACTATGTCAAGGATGGTGAAATTTTAGGTGATCCATCCAAAGGGGTAACTACTCGATCTTCTCTTAGGAACCTATGTAATTATGTTGCATTTATCTCATGCATAGAGCCTAAGAATATTCAAGAAACATTAAATGATGAAAATTGGATTATGGCTATGCAAGAAGAGTTAAATCAATTTGAGAAGTAAAGTATGAACATTAGTTGAAAGACATAGTAATAAATCTACTGTAGGTACTAAATGGGTATTTAGGAATAAGCTTGATGAATGTGGTAATATAGTGATGAACAAGGCTAGACTTGTTGCTGAAGGCTATACTCAAGAAGAATGTATAGATTTTGAAGAAACATATGCTCCCGTAGCTAGGATGGAAGCAATTAGAATGTTATTAGCATTTGCATGTTTTAATGAATTTAAATTGTATCAAAAGGACGTTAAAAGTGCATTTTTAATGGTTTTGTAAAAGAAGAAGTGTATGTAGAACAACCTCTTGGTTTTGAAGATTCAAAATTTCCAAATCATGTTTTTAATTGAAAAAAGGTTTATATGGTTTAAAACAAGCTCCTAGAGCTTGTTATGAAAGATTGTCAAATTTTTTAATAGAAAAAGGTTTTTCAAAAGGGAAGGTTGACACTACATTGTTTTTAAAGCGAAAAAGTAAAGATTTATTAGTAGTTCAATTTTATGTTAATGATATAATATTTTGTTCTACTAATGATGCTCTTTGCCAAGAATTTTCTGAGCTAATGCAAGGTGAATTTGAGATGAGTATGATGGGGGAGATTTTATTTTTCTTGGGGCTCTAAATCAAGCAAAGAAAAGATGACATCTTTATCAATAAAGCAAAATACGTCAAGGATATGCTAAAAAAGTTTGGATTGGAAAATGAAAAACCCCAAGCCACTCCAATGAGCTCATCTACAAAGCTTGACAAAGATGAAGGAGGTAAATGTGTAGATGTTAAATTATATAGGTCTATGATTGGCTCTTTGCTTTATCTAACCGCAAGTAGACTGGACATCATGTTTAGTATTTTCTTATGTGCTAGATTTCAATCATGCCCTAAGGAATCACATCTACAAGCCATTAAGAGAATCTTTAGATACCTTAAGGACACTCTTAGTTTAGGACTTTGGTATCCTAGAGACTCTAGCTTTAGCTTGCATGCCTTCTCTGATGCGGATTATGGAGGATGCAAAATAGATAGGAAAAGCACCTCTGGTACTTGTCAATTCCTAAGAAATATGCTGATTTCATGATTTTCAAAGAAACAAAATAGTGTTTCATTATCTACCACTGAAGTGGAATACATTTCAGCTGGTAGTTGTTGCACACAATTTTTATGGATGAAACAACGACTTTTAGATTATGGAATTGAAGTTGGAACCATAACTATCAAGTGTGGCAATACTAGTGCTATTTGTATCAATAAAAATCCCTTCCAACACTCTAGAACTAAACACATTGAAATAAGACATCATTTCATTAGAGATAATGTTACTAAAGGAGATGTAGTTCTAGAATTTGTATATACTTTGCATCAAATAACATATATTTTTACAAAACCTTTAGATAAAGAAAGATTTTAGACACTTAGGAAAGAATTAGGTTTAACTGACCTAATTTGACTTAGTATTTAAAATTTTTAGCACTTTTAATTAGAAAATGAAAGATGCTTATAAAAATAACATTTTTGAATGCATTCTATGCTAATAGTTAGGGGGAGTTTATGATCTTTATTGAAAATTAATAATATGTTCAAATAAAATTTAAGGGATGAATTGATTGATTAAACATAGTTAATTTTTGAAATATGAGTTGCCAATACCACTAGAGATGATTAATTTAGCATTATAAGTGCTTAAAAAAAGATTTTTGACATTTTTGTGCAACATGTATCGATACCCAGGTATCGATACTCCCTTGCTTTGTATCGATACACCTTGAATGTGTACAGATACATTCCTTGTATGTGTATCGATACCCCTCACGGGGGTACCGATACCCCCATCGGGTTTTGGCTTTAAATCCCAAAAATCCCAAATTTTCCAAACCCTTCTTCACTCAAAAACACTTGTTGTTCGCCACTGTCTCACACTTAATCTCCATTTTGCTCAAAACCAACAAATTTAAGTCAGATTTCACTCGATTTTCAACTTCTAAACCTGCTACATTCATCAAAATCGTGCAAACAACAACAAATCTCACTCAAATCTAAAAATTTCAAGGTAATTTTTCTAAACCACTGTTTTATTGATTTTTGAACATAAGACTAGATTTAGTTAGTTCTAGTTCAAAATAGATAACGTGCATTTGTTAGATTGTAGTTTAGAACTAGAATCTACAACTAATTTCATTAAAAACACAAATTTCTTCAAAAAAAATTTAAAATTTCGAAATTAAAAAAATATTTTGATTTTAAATTATTGTTTTTGATTTAATTATGTTGTTTTGAAAAACTATATAATGTTTTTCAAACTTAATTTTCAAAGAGTTTTTCAAAATTGCCCATTAGGTTATTTTTAGAGAACCTTGAAATATTGAGGACTCATATTGAGTTTTGGGATTAATATTGTTGCATACATGTGTTTTCAAATTGCAGGTATCCTTATTCCATTCTGATTTAAAATCATGTCTAAACGCCCTAGGTCGTCTTCTAGTCTGTCAAACCAACCTCCAAACCGACCTCCTATTCCACCTCCTAATCCAAATCCTAACCCAAATGAGCCCAAAATGATTATCCTAAATTCTTGTTTTAATGAACCTGGTCGTCGGGAAAATCTCTACACTAGGTTTGTTAACCTATTCGAGTCTTATAATATTCGGGAAGAACGTATCCCTTCACTTCAAGCTATGATCGATATGAAATATAAATATCTTTCTACTCTTAAATCTTGGAAATTAAATAAATTATTTCAGCTTGAACCTGTCGTTTATCACCAAGTCGTCCGCATTTTCTATTCCAATGCGATTTGTGTCCAAAACAGTCTCAAACCGCTACCGTTAGTATTCGGTCTTATCTCCTAGGCCAATGCATCAATATTGACTTTGACTCAATCGCTAGGACATTTGGTTTAGATAACGACAATTTAGATAATAAAAGAGAAACTGTGGCTACTTTTTATAGAGCCAAGGCTAGCGCGAGTACATTGTCAGATCACCACGATCTTTTTCTTCACTTAATCATCTCTTGGTGGTTTAGACCATCCGGAGGTAGATACTCTACTCTAAGAGCAATTGACCTTTGGTGGATACACTGTATCCAAAATAATAAGAAAATAAACTTGCCACAAATTATTTTTGCTGAACTAGTTGAAACCGTAAACAACGTCCCGTCTAAAGACGTAGAAACCTTAGTTTATGGTTGTCTTTTTAGTAATTTGCTTATTAAATCCAAGCTTAGGGTTCATCTTGATGTAGCCATCCCTCTTAAAAGCCAAATAAATCTCAAAACTTTGCGTAAATCGGGATGATCCGGGGATGAAGATCAATGGGTTCATTCAACCCCGAAAACACCAGGTGCTAGCTCTTCACGAGCTGCTCCGGCATCGGCACCGACTGCTGAGGATCTAGAACTTGAATAAATCCTATGGGATATCAACAATCCCGTTAACGTAGCCGAGGATGAGCCATTTCAGCAAGATAGTCAGATGCCTCCATATTTTTGATCGTTCATAGAGACATTTGACATGATGTTTGCATCCATAGAGTCCCACTTAACCGCTATGGGAGCTCAAAAATTGGAGAACCAATGGGAAATGCGAGCTAACCATGAAGCAATGAACAAAAGACTCAATGTGCTCACACAAGATATGGCTTCTCTAAGAGTATATTTTCCTCCTCCCAACCCACCAATGGATGATTGAACCTTTTTCTTGCTTGCTTTCTTGGTTGAATGTTGAACTTAAATATTGTTAAAACATTTTGATGTGTTGGATAATTAAACTTGAATGTTTATATATTATGGTTGTTTGGATTTATTTGTTTGATTTTTGGATTGTTTGAATGTCTTAAATGATTATTAGTTTTTGAACTTAATTTTCATGGTAAAATATGCATCATTTACATTTTAGAAAAATTATGACCAATTACCATTACACATTTATGAATATTGTTTATGGACTAATGGCTAACAATTCTATTCATTGCGATCTTAGCAGCTAAAGTTATATCTATATAAATCAATTGGTTATTTTCTTTAAAACCTCATTTAAACATTTTTTATATAGTCTTTTTGTTTTTTCAAAATTGATTTTCAAAAAGAAAATCTTAAAATTACTAAAATGTTTTGGTATATCAAAAAGGGGGAGATTGTTGAAAGCTTCCACCAAAATTTTTATTGCCAATTCACCCCCTCTTGGCTATTTCGTCGATCGATTAACTCAACAAGTTATTTTTATTTCTAGTGCCTGTAATGTTTAATATTTTTTATTTTGGCTCTGTTTTTATATTTGTGGTTTATCCCTCTAAATTTTTGTTTTTATTGTTTTCGCCCTTTAAGTTTCTATTTTTGTCATTTTTGTAACATCCTTAATATCAGGTTAGTGACCAAATTGTAAAATTTCAGAATTTGGTGATTAAAGTAGAATAGTTGAATAGTCCAATGATTTATTTGGAAATATTTCCTGAAAGTTGTTAGTAATTATCAAAGGAATTAAAGGGCAAAATGGTCATTTGACAAGAAAGATATTTCCCCCCTTTATATGAATGAATCACGTGGGGGAAGAGAGTTATATTCTTCCTCCTCCTATATCTCCAAGCTCAAAGGTAAGTTTTCTAATTAATTGATTATTTGTTTATTTAAGGTTTGGGTTTTGATCATTAGATGATAACTAAGCTTAAGAAAAGCTTAATTTATCTTAAAATCATAAGATAAAGGAGTTAGGAAAGATTAAAGATTTTAAGTTCTTGAATGAAATCTTGGAATAGAGTTCATAATTAGAAGTGGAAGTCAAATTTGACTTGTCATAAGTGGAATTAAGAGATATGAAGTGATACAATTGAAATTAGAGCATATTGAAAATTTGGGTATGATTCTTGATTCTATATGGAAAAAGGATTTTTGAGGTTAAAAATGATTTATATGGATATAAGTTGGTTTATGTAATGGTAGTTTGGTTTAATGACATGATAGGGGTTTAAAATAGAAGAATTGAGTGAAGAGTTGATGATTTCCGGGCTTGAAAATGTGATTTCTTCGCAAAGAGTATCGGTACCTATAGGGGTACCGATACCCTAGGGGGGAGGTATCGATACCCCTAAAGGAAAAATGGAATTTTGGTTCATTAAACTAGCTTATGTTATTAACATCAAGTTATAAGGTTTAGGCTTCTGATAATCATCTCAGAAATTATGTTTATGTAGATATTGAGCCTAAACAAGTTCCGGAACAATCAAAGAATTAGGATCAGGTCAAAGCAAGCAAGGCTAAGGTGAGTGCAATTTAATTTGTACTTAGGTTATTGAACAAACATTGGCTTGCGATGAGCCAGTGACGGAGTTATTGTGGTAAGAAGTGACTCCTAAAATATTATTCGATTTGTGATTGATATGATGCTTATGTGGCATGAGTGTATGTGATATATTATTGCATATATTACATGAATTGTGTGAATACATGTTAGTGTGATAATCTATGTGAACTGGTATAAATAGTGTATGTGATTACATAAGTTATATGATATAAATATGTGATATAATATAAGCTAACGAATTATATGATATGAGATAAGACAGATATATGTGGTTACTTGAGAAATGATATAAGCCATATGAAACGATCTACGTGAATACATGCACTTGTGATACATGTGATATGATATGAGATATATAGTTATACATACATGTGGTATGTGACAAAAGAGAAAGAACAAGTGATATGAAATGTATAAATGATAATGCCCATGTTATATGATATGAGAGCTAGTGGTATAGTTGGCATGCCAAGAGTCGAGGGTTACCTATGTTCTACGGAACATATGGACAATTTACCTAAGTTCTTCGGAACATATGGACATTTACGTAGGTCATTCGGGACAAATTTCACATGCCACTCAGTGGGACTTATACGAGCTGTGGTGACTGCAATAGTGCACAACCTCAATGTACTCGAATACCTTAAGTTCTCAATAATGTACATGGACCTATAAAAGATATCAAAAGTATTTACAAGATTTATATGTGATATTGTGTGTATTCCTAAGTGAAATGTATTTGTTATATGAGATTGATAATTGTTTATGCATTAGTGTGATTTAGAGTTTATATTATATGTTGATATGGTATAAAAAGAAATTAATGATGATAAAATGAGAAATGATAAGCATGTTAATGATGTTATGTTACATGATATATGCACGTATGTATATGTTACAGAGAAGAATATATGCTTTGGTATGATAAGGTAGTATCAATGTTCATGCATTGTAGAAGTTACAGTTAGCATATAATTATGTTTTATATGTCTCACTAAGTCTATGACTTAGCGTGTGATTGTTTCACACGTAGGTTCCGAGAAGAGGAAGAATGATAAAAGTTAAGCAAGACAGGTCAATTTCTCCTTTCTAAAGATCAGATCAGAAAAGAATTAAATAATATGTATTTTGTAATAATTATAGTGGTTGGCATGTAAATAAAGATTTGAATCCGATAGGCTCTTAAATGGTTTGTAAAATCATATGATTGAGTTTTGTAATATTTTAAATGTGTATATGTAAATGGTAATTTTATACGGATAAAACCTTATATTTTTATGAATTTATACATATTTTACGAAAGTACTGTATCAATATTATTCATTATTGTTCACGGTACTGTTCATACCGTATAGTACTGTTCATAAATATGTTTTTGACTTGAATTTTTATAATGAAAGATAATTCAACAATATATGATCATATTTTCTTAAAATGAGTTCAAATGTTTTGATATTTTGTAAGAATGTCATTTTTAAAAGTTAATGTGACATTTCGGACTCGTATCCGGGTTGGGGTGTTACAATTTTAGTCCTTTAAATTTTAGTTTTTTCTATTTAATCCTTTAAGTTTATGTTTTTGCTATTTTAGTCCTTTAACTTTCTATTTATGTTATTTTAGTCCTTTAAGTTTCTGCTTTTGCTATTTTGGTCCTTTAAATTGAATATGATTAATTACTGTTTTTATTATTTGTATTTTGATTTGTAATATTTTATTTTGTTCTAATCCTTTATGTATATGTATTTTTAATATTCCGACTCTCTGTATTATTTTAGATACATTATTAGTTTCATGTGTTGTAAATATTTATTTTATAAATTTGAAATTGTATTTGTTTTCATTGTTTTCTTTATCTATCAATTTGTTTCAAATAATTTCAAGAACATATTTGTAGAACGGGCATAGAAAGTATCACTTGATCGAAGTGGTACAATCTAATACGACGTTCGAACGAAATAGGACTTGAAATAAATTTAATTTATTTTAATAATTAAATCTCTTATGATTCAATGTGTTTTATATAGCAATTTAATTTATGCAAAAGTCGATTGTCAATTTATATTTGATT